TCATTACTAAAAATCTGTGGCATACCAAAAATATGTATTTTTTGTCAATCTGACAAAAGATAGGTATGATTTTGATTCATTCATATCACATGGCCATTGTTGTGCTGGCTGTTGTCATCATTTTATTTTGTCAATCTAAGAGGAAACAGGTCAGTGCCCCTAAATAAATAGTCTTGTACTGCATGTTTTAAAAATTCTTGAGGCACTGGAGTTGAAAATCACTGTTCTACCTCAACATCCAGAGTGATAGTGAGAAGGGACAAGAAAGTTTGGAATAATCTCAGGAAGTCTAGTTCTAAGAGATTCCCTCAGAGACCAGGTCACTTCTGGGCAGTGGGCAGGACTGAAATGACGTCAGGATTCCTTGGCAATTGGTGGTTGGTTCCTTAGTGGTCTTTATCTTTGGTGAGCTTTGTTACTTTCTGTGACGTGTCTTTGTAACCTTGGGATGCTGTATACATGTAATTGATTAGTGGGACCAGCTGGCTGTTGGTAGATCACTGAGCAAAGCCTTTCCCCTTAGAGGGAAACATCTTTGGGCAGGCACTCTGCTGGTTTTGAGCCAAGAATGCCATTGTGCATAAATATTGAGATGCACTGGGGAGGGGCAGGTACAGTGGTTAGTTAAGAACATGGTCTTTAGAGTCTGACAGTTTCAGATTTGAATTCCAGCTCCACCTCTGAGTAGCCAGTCAGCCTTGGGAAAATTACCTAACTTTTCACACCCTTAGTTTCCCCATTTGCAAATTGGGAATAATACTCTGTACCTAATCGATACATTTTAATAATTAAAAGATATAGCATGTGTAAAGAGCTTAGTGTAGTGCCAAACAGTCAATAATGGTAGCTAATTATTATTATCAGCTGCTGTAACTGTAGCTATTTGTATTTTAAAATCCTGTTCAATTTTAAATGTGTGTTTCTGCACATTTCTCATGAAGTCCTAAAAAGTTTTCATTAATTAAAAGCATCCCAATTAGGAAAGCACTACTTCATTTTTGCAGATTTGCCAGCCAGGGAGGCGTTTACTGTTTACCCTGAGCTGTGGAAATTTGTAGTTCTTTAGATGCAGCAGTTTTGTTGGTAGTATGCTCATTTCGATAATCCAGCCTTAAAGAATTCCATCCAGTCTGTGAGGCAAGTTCTTCCTTTCCTGAAACCACACGGGTCCCTCTCAACTAAGTTGCTGTTCTTCCTCTGTTTGATTTCTTAAACCAGTTTCTGAGGATTTTAACCGCAACTGAATCAAAACTAACCAGCCTGCAGTTTCCTGGTAGGTCCCTATGGCCTTTCTTTGAAAACAAATGCACACAGCACAATGGCATCGCACTGGCTGGTTTCCAGAGCTTCGGGGTTTCAGCCGGAGGGAGCTGGAAATGGGCGGGAGACGGACCCTGACTTCTCTTTGGGGCTCCTTGGGAACAGGCTCTAAATGGTCCCTGGCTTCATCACGACAGATTATCAAATTCAGGTGCTTTTCATTTTGAGTCGTTTTAAGGCAAGTTTACCAATACTATCTCTCAATAGTTCTTTAATGCATACCTTCCTTCTTTTTGATTCTAGTACCTCGTAAAATAAGGCAACTTGTACGAAGTATATAAAAGCCAGAAAGAACTGTTTTGCTTTTATACAAAAGACATGCTAAAAATATCCAAGAAAATATGGACTGGTTATTTGAATTTACAAATTAAAAGCACAACTAGAATATATTTACATCTTTTCCAAAACTTTATTCAAGTATTCTGAATTTGACTCAACTTGGAGGCAAAGAAAACTAGATTGTTTGATTATTTAAATTATTAAATTTCTTGTATTATAGCCATTTTCATCTATTTTCGATGATTAAATGTTTTCTTCTAGTTGAATTCTTAATATAGTTTAAATATTTTGATTAAATGAATCAAAATAAATGAACAAATGAAGTGTTTGGGTTTTAAATAAATGTTTATAATTAACATATGACATAAAAGTTAGGGTTAAAAAGACATAAAAATGTGAATGATGCTATAATATTCAGACAATGGCTAAATGAAAAAAGGGATCAGAATAGAAACCGAGTAATTTATTTTAGAATTATAATGAGCATTATGAAAATATATGTGCCCACTACATTGTTCCTCTAAATGTTTGTTTCTATGTGTTAATTAACAACAGATGGGTAATGAAGAACTAAAAATGCAGAATAAATGCTGAGATAATGATGTAAGAAAAATTCACTTTTAAATAAAACACTCTTATTCAGATTTTAAGATACAATAAAATCAAATGTGAGATTAATTGTAAAAGAGTCATATTCAGAAGTTCTGAAATGCTAAAACATATTTAAAGAAATACAGTATATTTCTTCCATTATATGCATATTTGGAAATAACCAATGAAGTATTTTCAAATAGATAATATAGTCAACTTAACTGCAATCAGAGACAGGCATTTGCCTCCCAGAAATTGATGTGCTAAAGTCAAAATGGTTCTTCTAAGAAATATCTCCCCAGGTATTATTTTTAATAATATTCATTAGCAAGCTAACTTCGTCATGGTCAAAGCAAATGCAATGTTAAGCATAGCCTAGACTAAAGTGTTATAAATTACTGAAATTAGTGGAATCTAAAAAATTATGTTTTATTGTATTTGGAAATTGAAACAATATTATTTACCATTTACTTTTTTTAAAAGACGTTTTAATAAAACAGGATCAAATATATAGTGATACGTTTTATTTGTTTCTTTGGGGAAAAAGAACAGGGTCTAAATTATATTAATTTTTGTCCACAGTTTCTCCCCAGTATTTTCTATAATTACTGCTGTGGCTATTTTATAAGTATTCATTTAAAAAAAAAACAATTCAGAAAATGTATAGATGTAAGCACTGTAGTTAGCATTTGAAAGAAAACATCTACAGACATTTCATGTTGACATTAAAAAGCTGAAGAGACAGTCTCTCCCCTGGTTGGAATTTCAGAATCTTACCCATCCCTTGGTTTAGAAAAGACAAGGGAATTGGGTAAAGTCCTCTGTTCTTTTTAAAATTTCTAATGCACAGTATGGTGTCACTTTTACATACTTCATACTTATTTTGCTTTCTGTCAAACTCCCTTGCTGACAAGCTTCAATGTCAATTGTTCCGACTGACCTGTTGGGCAGTATTGCTGAAATGAACACAGATTATATCATTCCTCAAACGACTCCCTTAATCTTGCTTTTACCAAGAGTATTTTCTGGAAAGGACCCCATTCCAATCGGGTTTCATCGCTTACTCATATGATTGCAACACAGGGGTTTGGGGCCGGTGTTTTGGGAGCCTGATCTAATGAAGACATCGCGTTAGATTGTGCAATTGTTGGCTCTTCATTGTGCAGAGTTCTCTTAGCATCTATTACTTATATAGTACACATAATATATAAATAAATCTAAAATTCAAGCTTCAACAAATTAAGATTATCTCTACCTTCAGAATATTGTAACTGTATTACTATAGTTCACATTTCAAAGAAATAAATGCCGAGCAAAATAACTGCGAAGAAATATTTTTATATTGTTGCTCACTGCTAGCTGTAACAACTTCTCTTGGCGATTCCAGGGCATCCCTTTTACTGTTACTTAAAATCTGTTAACTTAAACCGAAAACCCATTACAAACAATTACTGACTTAAAATAGGTGGCAAGCAAGGAAGTAAATTGACACCCGTTAGCCTGTTAGGTATATTTGTAGGTGCTGTGAGAAAGTACAAAGCAAACAGAAGGCTCAGGAATTTTCCAAGACTCAGTCTGCTTTTTCTAATTCAGAGTCCCATGTGACACTGGAATTTAAAAAGGCAAGAAAAGATGTTTCTATAGTTTCAAATTTTCCAATTTTTCTTCTGCCAAGTCTCAACGTCCCTGAGTATTTAAGGTACAAGCCTCCTGTACAGAATGGAAAGTGCTTCAGTCTATGGAAAACTATAGCATCGCCTGTGTTCACATGAGTAGAATTTTCCTGAGGACAATATGTGCCACGTTAATAAGATGCTCCATGGGAAATCTCTTTGGAAAACATAAAGTCCAATATTACAAATAAAATGTGGCATTATTATTTGGTTCTACAATTATCCTGTCAAGAGACCAATTCAAATAGGAAGCCCAGATTTGGGGGTCTTACCGAGGTGAAGAAAGTATTGGAACACGTTCACTTTTCTCTCTCTTCTTCCATGAATTGATTTTACCTCTCCCACTTGGGGGCACCAAGGAGCAACTTACAGGTCAGACCGTTTCAAACACACACTCCACAGACACATCCACAGTACACATGTACATGCAGGAGCATGTGGCTTTCCCAAAATATTTCAGCATGATTTGAAAAAGAAGAAAACCATCTCTTATTTTGAGTAATGATAATAGCAAATGGGTTCCACTTGGCATCGATTTGCTAGAAGTACTTTAAAATATTTTTCAGATGAAAATCTGAATCTTTGGAAAACACGCAGATTGATTTCCATAGGCTAATTAAACGAAAAGTCTACACGTGAAGAAATAATCAGATCCATAATATGGAAAGAGAAGTGATGGATTGCTGCTAGAATATTCGGATTATTATGAAGGTGCAGATGCAGCCTATTATTGTAATCGGCACTCCTACTGAATATCATGTGAACTATTTTAAATGGGACCTTGACTTGGTGGGTTTTTCCAGCTTCTTACATTTCCTTTGGACTCTGTCCCTTCTCGGTCCCCTTCTTTGTTACTGGTAGATAAACAGGTTGCTGTACAAATAACCTCAGGCATAGGCCCTGAATCCTGTCATATTTCTACATGAGGGAACTCGTTTTTAATGGGTTTGTCTTTGAGAAAATATAATTTCTCCAATAGAGCTTGGATAGCCTTTCCCCCAAGACACTGAGACAAACAGCTGAATGTGCTAGGTGACACTTAATGGTGGGCCAATGAGGAGAGGAAGTGTCCTGGAGAAACCTGGCCCACTGCACTCGCTCCATGCCCTCTTTAGAAAACCCGCCAGGGTACGGTACCTTCTTTTCGTTTTCCCGTCGCTGTTGGTCCTTAGATTTAATCTGGAGAAGTTGAAATTTCAAGAGCTTCCCTATTAGTGGTAAGGTTAATTTCTCTCCACTGTCCATAATTGCTTTGGCTGCTATTAACACCTAGGAAGAAACACAATTATTAGGAAAGGTGGCATTTTATAACCTTTGGCGCAGTCTGTCAGTGATGAAAAGATGAAATGGTATTTGGTTTTGTAATATTTGTCTTACTGCAAAGGTGCCTCATTGCTGGCCAACAAAATTAGGGGAAAAATGTCCTAACGCCACAGAGAGGGGCATTTATTCTCTACTCTAAATAAAGTGGGCTGTCTGGAAATGAGCTTCTTTTCCCAATAAGGCAGGGGCCGCTCCGCACAGCGGTGCCCGATGCAGGCCCTCGAACACGGGTGGAGGAAAGACGGGCAGGGCTCCGTGACGGGGTGAGCGACGGGCCCCTTTCGTGCCACAGAAAGTCTATTGTCCAGCACAGCAAATGGTCCAAACTGTCAACCTCTGACTTATTAGCGCTTTATAAATTAAACAGGGTTTTATCATAATGGAAATGGCTATGTTAGCAGTCATTTATTTCTTAGTGACCAAAGGCAGATGAAAGATAAAAGATGCTTGACACGGAGGCACCATATGAAAGTTGAGCCCCTCCCCCCTTGCAATTTAATGTTGATCCTGTTGGTATGCAGCCTAATTGGGGTGAAATAAGGTTATTGAGTTTTCTTTGGGTGACGACAGCCACTAGGAACATACAGCTGTATTGTCCAGATGTGTGGCACTGACAGCCTGTTTTATGACTCCGCTTTTTACAGCTTGTTTCCCCTAAATGTCACACAACTCTCTAACATCTGGGCCCTTTTCCTTGGAGCCCTATAACCACTTTATTTACTGCAAAAAAAATAAAATCACGTAAAATATACCATAAAATGTTGTTACGTGCTTTCTCTTTATTCATGTTGTCTCCCTAATAAAGCTCACCGCTAGCGGAAGCACTGTCACAAAAGTAGTCTAGTCAAAGTATTTTTTGACTTTTGTTTTTAAGCAAGCATCAGATTTATTTATAACCCCAGGATGAATTAGGTGTTACTAAAATGTTCTGACATGTTGCTTTTCTCCCCCCTTGGAGCAATTACTCCTCCCGGCGCATATGGTGTCAATTTCGGCCCCTCCGTCCCAGACAATGACGGCGCACACTGCAACTCATCGAGCTGCGTCTGTCTGAGGTTCATACCAGCTCTTGGTCAGGGCTTTCCTGACCAATCCGGTTCCTTACGACTTTCCATTTCGCCAAGGGAAACAGCTGAAAGAATGGGAGATGGCTGTTTTGCTTCTAACTACAGAAGGCTCTGTAGATTATCATAGGCCAGAACATAACTGGACCTCGTGGGGCCCCAGCGGGGTTTCCTGCGATGCATCACAGGGAGGCAAGGCCAGGGAAGGGGCTCCTTTAAAGCCGCTGTTCCTAAAAACCAAAGGAACAAACCGAGTGTCAGAAAGCTTTGTGTGTGTCTAGGCAAACACCCTCCGTGACACAGGGCTCTTTGCTTTTTACAGCAGTCCTCCAGCTGACACGATTTAGGGGAAGGGACAAGATGGCTGCGGCTCCTGGGAGCAGGGGAACACAAAGGTCCACCTGCACGACCTCACCACTTAATGATGGCCAGATTCAAGAGGAAAGAGAATCCTAAGGGAATGAACGGTCAGGCGTTCACCATAAAATGGAAGCCGTCCGGTTGACTCCAACCCCGTGGGTAGATGTATTTCGTTTAAAATGGTATTTTCAAAACTAGCCGAACAGTGTGCTGACAATCAGGTTGTTTTGTGACACCTGGTTCAAAATATACAAATGTGGGTTTTTTGCAGCCTGGCCAGGGCATTCCTCTGCGATACAAATATGACAACGGCGTTGAAGGGACGTCAGCACTGGAATGGGTCGCCCAGGAGTGGCATGGAGTCTCTGTTCCTGATGACCTGTGAAAACAGGGTATTTACCTATGTCTGAGGTGGTTTAGGTGAAGCCTGCCTGGCGTCATGGTGATGGATGGGATGTCTCTGGAGTTCCTTTCTATCCCCATGTCTCTGTGGGTCTTTGAGTGTTACCTCACTGCGTTAAAATGTACTCAAAGCACAATGAAACATCCCAAGAGAAAGGCATTTTGCTGGCTGTGAAAGTTTGCTCTGGTTCATCTAAAATTGTCTACAGGGAGCTGGGTTTAAATCAAAAATCTGCTGCAGCATCGAAGCAATGGGGATACCCTCCAGCGAAAGGGGGACATCGGAGAGCAAGAGTGTCACTGGAAAAGCTGGACACCACGTTCTCGTGACATGGGGACACAGAATGAGGGCGGTAGCAGCGCCAGGCAGCACCGAGGAGGGACAGGGGACGGTCCTGCCGGCCCAAACAGCCGAGGGGGCCCCTGCGGAGACTGACTCCACGCCGACAGCACACCGCGGGGCAGGCGGGGCGGCCCCTCCACACCCTTCGCCGTGGCGGGAACGCGCGTGTTGTCCTTCCCCAGGGCTGTTCCCGGATTCCCACGCACGCCTTTTCTTTCTGTGCTCCCCCAGCGGGGTCGGCGGTGTGAATCCTTTTGGGTTAATTAATGGAAATGAAAGCCTCTACTCAACCCAGAATCTGAAACTGACGATTTTTATGGTATTTAGGTCACCCCCAGGAGAGGCAGAAACATAATTTCTACTGAAAATTCTTTCTTCTCACACTCCATAATTCACAATTCCACCCAATCAGGAGCTAGTAGTTTGGTCTCAGATGAAAAACAAATCCTTAGAGGACCTTTGTTTGAAGCATAAGTCTTTGAGGAAAGAAAACAAAAGAACTGCAGAAGAGACAGGGTTTAAGGGAAAATACATTTCACACACCATTTCGGAAAGGCTTCCCCTCCTTTGCCTTACTTGTAATTGAAAAAATAATCAAGCCTTTAACCTTCCAGCTTTGTAGGCGTTATTTATCCCACATCTAGTCAATGTGTATGTGTGCATCAGTGCGTCTATGTGTGTGTGTGTGTGTCTGTGTGTGTGTACGCGGATGTCTGAGTGCTGTGTGTGCAGGTGCGGGGAGGCAACCTGACCCAGGCCGTAGGTGCGGGAGGATGAAACCCTACAAGAGAAAATGGGAGCAGGGCGCTGGTCAGGGCAGGGAGTAATCAGACAAAGACCTAAACTTTTAGAACTAGGCATAAAAACAGTCTTAAGTGGGTTAAAACCGGGGTATTAATCAAGCCAAAAAAACAAATAAATGAGCCCGGCATGAGTCAGAAACTTAAAAAAAGGAGTCTTGTGGGCAAGCGAGACTCATTAAAACAGAGAAAAACTGGTGCCAGGCCAGGCCTGTGCGTGTCTCCCGGACCCGCCCACGCCAAGCAGAAGGACTGCCAGGGCCGGGGCGGGCCTGGCAGAGCTTCCGGAGGCGGTCTGTGCCGGGAAAGGCTGGGAAGAGGAAATGCGGCTTCAGAGTGCAGCGGAGGCCGCACTGTGCGAAGATCTCCTCTTGGGGGTGGGTGTCCTTTTTGTGTTACAAAGTTTATGATTCTGAGCACACTAAGAAATAAAAATATTTCCCTCTTTATCACTTACTTGGCTCAAAGACTTAGGCCTTATTTACCATCCAATGATTTGATTCAACAAAAATATACCAAAGGAGCCAAATTCTTTCCTTGCCTGGGTGTCAGGCCCCCCCACAGACACGGGTGGCCTCCCTGTCCCTGCTCTCTGTGTGCCTCCCCACATTACAGGAGCAGGCAGAGCATCTGCCTGGACAAACTCACAATCGCTCCACAGATTAGAAACCAAATGAGTGTATGTGTGCAAGAGTGTACATACATTTATACATATAAATGCATGTGTATGTGTGTATATATGACGGATGGCTGGATGAGATAGATAGGACTTCCCTGAGGTCTGCTGCCTGGTTCCCCCGTCACTATTACAAAGGAGGCACATGGAGCAGCTGAATCCTTACTTGATTTGCTGCCTGTTTACTCCAGGTGAGTTCTGAGGAAGAGTAAAAGGCCTTTGGGTATATGCATTCCTTCTGTCTGGAACAGGTGAGGGAGGAGAGGGGGAGGTGCCGTCAAATCGGGCAGAGAAGGGAGGGCTGACTGAGAGGGATGTGCTGAGGGAAGACTTCCCCTCCAGAAGCCCCAAATAGCTACCAGTCTTCTAAAAATAACCCGTTGATTTCAGGGCCCTTCTTGGGTGAGGGTGGGGTCCCCAGAGTTTGTACAGCAGCTATATAAGTGCACAAAATATGAGTTCATATTTAACCCATGACCTTGGGTTCATGACTTAGGGTTGGTTTAGACAGGTAGAGACGTCAGCAAGCCTAAGCGGAATCTATAACCTTGACTCAGTCCGGACCAGCACAAGGCTGAGCAGAATGTTTTTTGACTCACTGGTGTGTGACTGTGTGTACATACACACATCTGTGTGTACATATGTGCACAAGACTGTGTGTGTTTACATGTGCAGCTGCCTTTGGGGATGATTAAGATTATTAAAAGATATTCAATATATAAAAACGCCATCAAAACTAAGCTCATAGATTCTGAAAAATTACTAAAAAGGGAAAAATATTAACATTTATTACCTTAAAAGTAACAACGCTACCATTTCTACCTAATTATACTGTAGAACACAAGGTATTATGTTTATCATTAAACATGTCAGATTAAATGTGTACTAATTTATTCATCAAAGTAAACTGTGTGACTAGATGTGCCACCTTCAAAGTTTGTTTTTTAAGTAGCATATTATTTACTTACGTATTCTGCTTTTTTATGCGCTGTATCTGCTCATGACATTAAAAAATCGGAGGAACTAATGCCCCAATGAGCATGTGTATGTTACGCAGTTTTCAGTGTTTGGAGTAAAGGGCCTGATTCAGATGAGCCTGATTCTGCACAGTTGATGAAAAGGCCGGAAGGCCGGATTTACCAGGGGTTTTAGCTGCTCGGCTACAGGGCAGAGGCAGCAGCTCTGAAACCACGCCCGCCGCTGCGCACATCACGCGGACGCGCGGCTGCGTCTGGACCTGGCCTCCTCCCGGGGCAGCCTGGGCCCCCTGCTTGCTCCTTTTGAGCACCGAGCCCCCGCTT